TTGTTGCTTGTTGTCAATTCCCGGGACACTTCCCTTCCCCTGCCTCTGAACAGCCCCCACAAATGAGCAATTCCTAAATGCATTTGCTATGATGTATTCAAAGGCTGCCACTCAAAGGTCAGTGTCAGTGTCCTCTGTTTCCAAATATGGCTCTTTTTAAAAAATCAGGCATAGCAATACTGAATACCAACTGCCTAAAGATTCACAAGTCTCCTCTAGAAAGTCCAGGGCTCCTAAAGAAATGGCAAATCCAATGAAAGTTGTAATGTGATTTACCAAGCTGAAAAAGGAACACAAAAGGGGCATGAATAGACACAATTTTTCTACTGGCCTGGGGAATTGTGCTGACGGGTCTGCAAGAGTCAGACATGATGCCTCATTCCTCTGTCTTTCTACTCAGCCATCTCTCTAGTGTCTTAGAATGTTAAGCAGGTCCCAGACATGCTCTCTGATCACGAGACACAGGGAGTCAGGTCGCTAGGGAGCCTCTGAAGAGAGAAGTGAAAACACAAAGGAAAAAAACAATTATTTATAGCCATTTTGCTTTGTATCTCTGATGTTAGTCCTTTTCTGGTACTTCTCAGTCTGCTCTGAATTCTGAATTTTCCAAAACACAGAATAATACTTGCTGTTTTTCTCAGATGCTACCAGACATTATTAATCAGATGGTTAACACAGACTTTCACATCATGAATACATCTTGCTAGTCTTACCTCCCACCACTCTCTTCTGTGCTATGGCCATACTGGACAACTCTACGTTCCTGCATACATCTTGTACTTCAAGACCTCAAAATTTCTACCACTGTATCTTTACAAACAATTATTTGAATTTTAGAATGCCAACCCCCTTATCATTCTTAAAGACTCAGTTCAAAAGTCCTTTCCTCCTTAAAGTCTTCCATGATTCCCCATTGCCACCCCAGATTAATTCTTCTGTATATAATTTCTATTCTCCTATTAATTAAATTATTTATAAATTATTGAGTACCAACTATTTTTCAGGCACTGTGGTAAGTGTTGGGGATACAGCAGAAGAAAGACATGGTGCCTATCCTCATACAATTTACAAAATGGTAGAAAAGATAAGTAGTTGACATAAATCTTTTTTCTAAGAGATGTATAGGTGGCTATGGGAGGTCACTGCAAAGGATCTAACCCAGTCTTGAGAGGTCAGGGAACGTATACTTAAAGACAGAATATTTAAATTAAGAACTAAAGTCAGAACATGATTTAGCTGATGAGGAGTTATTGCCTTCCAGAGGGAGAATAAAGGCATAGGAAAAAACAGTGAGGAAAAAAGAGACATGAGGCTCCCGAGGAAACCAAAAGAAGGAGAAAGTAGCACAACATAAGGATTCAGAAGAAGACCAAGCTTTACAGGCCTCCTTAATAATTCAAGACCTTTCAATTATTAAAAACTCAAAAACAATAGTTGCTGGGGAGGTTGTGCAGAAAAAGGAACACTTTTAAACTGCTGGTGGGAGTGTAAATAAGTTCAATTATTGTGGAAGATAGTGTAGCAATTTCTCAAAGCCCTGGAGGCAGAAATACCATTTGACCCAGCAATCCCATTACTGGGTATGCCCAAAGGAATATAAATCATTCTATTATAAAGGTACATGTGCATGTATGTTCAATGCAGCATTGTTCACAGTAGCAAAGACATGGAATCAACCTACATGCCCTTCAATGGTAGACTGGATAAAGAAAATGTGGTGCATATACACCATGGAATACTATGCAGCCATAAAAAGGAATAAGATCATGTCTTTTGCAGGGACATGGATGAAGTTGGAAGCCATTTTCTTCAGTAAACTAATGCAGGAACAGAAAATCAAACGCCACATGTTCTCAGTTCTGAGTGGGAGATGAACAATGAGAATGCATGGACACAGGGAGGGGAGCAACACACACGGGCCTGTGGGAGGAGTGAGGGGAGGGACAGCACCAGGAAGAATAGCTAATGGATGCTGGGCTTAATACCTCAGAGATGGGATGATCTGTGCAGCAAACCACCATGACACATGTTTACCTCTGTAACAAAACTGAACATCTGGCACATGTATTCCTGAACTTAGAGTAAAAGTTGAAGAAAAGTAATTAAGGACCTTAAACTACAAGGAACAGGAAGTCACTAAAAAGCATTAGCATAGAGACTGTTTGGAAGGAAGAAAAGTACAAGCAGAAGCATCATCGGTGGCTTGGAATGGAGTGATAGAGAAAAGCGGATACATTTGAGGGATATTAAAGATGGGGGATCTACAGGGCTTAAATAATTGCATCTGAAGAAAGAGAAATAAGAGGTGTCAAAAATGACAAAAATTGATAGTGCAATAATTCTCCGAGGTAAGGAAAAATTGAGGAGGGCCAAGATTGATTTCAGGCAGTGGGATGAGTAGACAATAAGTTTGGTTTGGAAAATACTGAATTTGAGGTACTCATGAGATATACAAGTGAAGATAATAGCAAATAGTAAGTTAGGTGTATGGCTTTGAAGCTCAGAAGAGAGAGCTGAACCAGAGATAAGAAACTGAGAGTCATCATCATGAATATGGTAATTGAAGTCATGAAAGTGGAAAATGTTATTCTAAGGAGAGTAGAGTGAGTAAGAAAATCTCTGTGAAATCAAAACAAACATGTAAGAGTCATATAGAAGAGCCATGAAAAGAGGTGGAGATAGAATGGTAGAAGAGATAGAAGGAAACCCAGGGGAGTAACATTTGCAAAATGAAAGGAAAGAGAATATATTAAAAAGGAGACTAATCATCTGAGGTGAATGCTGTTGGGTTGCCGAGAAGGGTGAATTTAACAATGTGGGTGTCATTGTGACCTTATCAAGAGCTATTTTAGTTAAGTTGTGTGGGGCAAGAAACAGATTGGAGTGGGTTGAAGCGAAAAAATGGAAACAGAAATGTAGACAATTCAAGAAATTTGTGTTTAATGGTAGCAGTGTGATTGCTGAGTAACTGAGAGGGCTAAAGAATCCAGAGTGTTTTATTTGTCTATTTATTGGAAATATTAGAACATGTCTAAAAGCTTAAGCAAGAACCCAGTAGAGAATTATTGGTTGAAGACATAGACAAGCAAGCAGTTAACTGATACCTTAAGGCTTTTGGGAAGGCAAAGGGGATGGGATCCAGAATATAAGTGGAGGGATTTTCTTTTAATCGAAGGAAGTATATACCTACATGGTAACATGAAGGAAAAAGAGAAGAGTTGAAATGTCTACATCTAAATTTGGAGGTAGAATTGTCTCTAGATTTAGTGGTGGAAGTTTGGAGGTAGAGTTGAGTAGGTGGTAAAGACATTTGCTGAGACTTGAGGGAGTGAGAATGATAAGATGGAATTTTGAGAAGATAATTTTTGGTGAAGCTCTCTGGGTGGGATTTTTTTTCTGGACCTCCCTTATGATTATTTAGAGATAGTGTAATACAGTGATTAAGAACATAGAAGCCCTTGCTTGGATAAGTCACATAACATTTTTCTATCCTCAGTGTCTTCATTGTGCAAAAAGGATCATAATTTTACCTACCTCATAATTTTATTATGAAAATAAATGAATTATTATACATGAAGGGCTTAGAACAGTGCCTGACAAATAATAAGAACTCCAGTGTCACTTTCATTCTTTTTTGTTGTATTTATTTATTTATTTATTTATTTTGAGGTGGAATTTTGCTATTGTTGCACCGGCTGGAATGCAATGGTCTCAGCTCACTGCAATCTGTCTCCCGGATTTAAGAGCTTCTCCTGCCGCAGCCTCCCAAGTAGCTGGGAACAGGTGCCTGGCACCACACCCAACTAGTTTTTGTATTTTTAGTAGAGATGGGGTTTCACCATGTTGGCCAGTCTGGCCTCGAACTCCTGACCTCAGGTGATCCGCCCACCTCGGCCTCCCAAAGTGCTGGGATTACAGTCGTGAGCTACCACACCCAGTTGCTTTCATTCTTCATGCTCTCTAAATATTACCTGAGTCAATTCATTATTGGATTATACGGAGATGCTAAAGGCAACTATTAGGTATAAAGGAGGGTGAATTTTTTCTTCAAATGTTGATGTTTTCGTTTTCTAACTAGAGTATAAATGTAACAGAGATATAAGGTTTAATTTTATTCTTAGTTATATATATATTACATCTCAGTATATCAGTGAATACCAATATATCTCAGTAGAAAGGACTTGGTCCATAGATGATGGAGTTGGGAGTTGTTTCTAAGAAGGAGCCTTGAGGATTGTGACCTGAGTCCTAGGGTGATTCTTTTTCTAAATTCAGGTGCAGAGACAACATAAGCAGGTGAGATTTTCAATATTGTTCCAGACCTCTTCTATGTCTTTTTCTGCATTAGAAGGAGGAAAGCTTTACATCCATGGCTGGGAAAATCAGTAACAATTTTTTAAGTGGAGGAAGTGGAACTGTTTCATAGCTATTAGCTACAAATATTAGTACAAATAGCTATTAGCTATAAAACATCTGGAAAGTTCCATAGGAAGGGAATCTCAAACCCAAAATACGAACATTTGCTCCCCAAGTTCATTGGAGAAGTATTGTACCAAATTAGTGACCTGAGTATAAAGGTTGAAAGACCGAAGATAGACATACACTTAATTGTAAAAGACGGTGTCAGCTTGGGCAGAGTAGACGAGAACAATCAAACAAAACTAGCTGATATGGTGCCTTGAAGATGGGATCAGGAATGAGGGCTGCTAAACTTTGCTAATACAATCTACATTAATGAAAAGCCTAGATTACATGTACATAATAATATGCCCCTTTATTGTTTTCAGTACACCCTGTACAAACAAAATGGCTAAGTGTTGCCAAGCAGAGGTCCCACCACACCTGATCCTGCCTGATTTATAATTAGCACATTTGTTTGTTAGTATGCAAATGAGTACTGCTATAGTACTTAGAAAAAATGCGCTATTAAATAAGTGCAACATTCTTCCTGCAGTCTTGCTTCAACTATTCATTAGTGCTACCAACCTCTTTTTTCATAGCAGGTACGAAGTAAAACAGCAAACCTGCAAAAGTATGTGAATTTACACAATGGCTGTTTAGCGTTAGACGGGGAAGGTGGTATGAAGACATGGCAGGCCTCTGTGTAAGTAGCCATTGCATAATGGATCTCACGGTAGCATATAGAACAATTTATATGAGCTACAAAGTGGAATAAGCAAAGACAAATCTTTCCATTTGTAAGCCCATTTCCTCTGTTTGGATTTGTACAGATATGGTAAAAATATTTTCAAGCTAAGATTCAAAGCCTAGCTCCAGCACTTACTAGCTTTGTGACTTTGGCTGAGAATGATCTTAGGTCCTAGAACATAAGTGATTCTCAACAAATATTATTTTTTGACCCCCTCCTTCACATACATGAAGACGTAGTAGTACAGTAGCAATATAGCAAAGTAGTTCAGCAAGAGGGCTCTGAAATTAGACTGACTGAGCTCAGAATCCTGACTCCACTATACTGACTATATATCAATTTAATGAACTTATTCAACCTCTTTAGTCCTTGATTTCCTTATCTGTAAATTGAACATCTTAGTCGTCCTACTTAACTCATAAGGTTGTGGTGAAAATTTGATAAGATAAGCCGTGTAAAGCATTCAGAAGAAGGCGTACAACATAGTTAACCTCAATAAACACTGACTCTTAAAGTGTTAACCCTGCTTCTTCATTTTGGTTTATGCCCAGTCAACTCCACTACAAATGATCTTGTTAAACACACTAAACACTACCTGTATATTTCTTAATTCAGTGGATACTTTTACATTATTTTTCTGCACCATTTAATATAGATAACTACTTTTTCCTTGTTGAAATGTGGAAAACAAGAAAGATTTCAGGAAGTAGTCAATTTCATACAGGATAAAATTTTGAATCAGATGCTCTAAGGGGATTGTGGAGTCTCTGTCTCTGGAGCATGAAAAAGTGATCAGCGGTGTATTTGGGCACTTGCATGCCCAAAGGCAGGGACTGGCTCAGATCACCTCTGGAGATTTATTTTTGCCTTTAGAGTCTGTGATTCTCCTAAATTAATGAATGATAGCCGCTGCTATTTGTGCAGTAATAGCTAAAATGCAGGTCTGGGCATTTCACAGGTGTCCTTGCAATCCTCACAAAACTCCTGTAAAGTGGATATTCTCCACATTTCAAAATTGATTAAATAGCTTTAGAAAAGCACAGATAACAATGTCATGAAGATAGTGAGCTATAATTTCAGAATATTCTTCTTTTCATTTATTCACTTATTCTTGCATAAATTCAATCAATATGTGTTAATCACCTACTATGTGACAGGCACTGTCTTTAGTACTGATGTACAGCACTGAACATAAAAGATAAAATCCATGCCCTTATTAAACTTATATTTTAGTAGGGGGAGAATATGACCCAAGAGTTTCTGGTTCCAAGGTCTCATTTTGTTCTATAATGTAGTATAATACACTGGTGGGCTTTTGTGTCATGTTGCCATTTTACAATGAAGTTAAAATTTTTCCCCTTTTAGACACAGCAGGACAATGCACCAAGGAAATTGAACTACTATGTGTGAATTCTTTCTCCTGGGACTCATGGTGAGGTCTAAAGAGCAGCAGTTTATCTTCACGCTGTTTCTATGCACGTATCTGGTGACTATGGTAAGAAATTTACTTGTCATCCTGGCCATTATCAGTGATGCTCACCTCCATGGCCCCATATACTTCTTCCTTGACAATCTATCTTTCACTAACACCTGCTTCACAACCACTACAGTCCCCAAAGTTTTGGCAGATATTCAAAGCCAGAATCCAACCATATCCTTTAAGGATACCCCTGACAAATGTGGTTTTAAATGTTCCTGGTGGATCTGGATAATTTTCTGTTGACAAACATGGCATAAGACTGATACATTGCTGTCTGTCACCCATTACACTATATGTGGTATTACTGAGTCCTAAGATCTGTGCCCTGTTGGTTGTGACTCAATGGGTGATCCCCAACCTTGTCTCAATACTGCGTCTCAATCTGCTGAGTCACTTAACTTTCTGTGATTTCGCATTTCTTCCGTGACCTGGAACTGATTTTAGGGCTTCCTTGCTCAGACACCCACATCAACAACTTGATCATTATTGTCATTGTGGAAGTAACTATCTTCATCCCCTTCACCTTCATTTCTTGTCTTCTATGCCCATATTGGCAGCAATATGCTTGGAGTTTCCATCAGCCAAGGGGAAGTAGAAAATATTCCCTACATGTGGTTCCCATCTCTCAGTTGTATTCCAGGTCTTCTGTGGGTTCATCATTAGAGTCTACCTTCTCTCCTCTTTTGCCTACTCAGCAGGAAGGAATAATAAGGTAGCTGCTGTCATGTATACAACTGTAACTGCTTGATCAACTCCTTTATCTGTAGTCTAAGGAACAAGTACATGAAAGGAGCCCTGAGTAGACCACTCAGCAGACAAAGTTTTTCTGGAAATGGTGCACCCTGCCATAGAGATTCCTGTGTTGACTTTTTAGATTTGATGAGCACATAGAGGATCCAGAATCTCAGGCTACTGTGCTTCCTTGGCAGTTTCATTCCCATCCAGTTCCTGCCCTTAATCCAGACCCAAGACTCTAGATCAGACTCATCTTCCCATTTAAAAAACACAACCAAACAAAATGTTCCTCCCTCTATCAAACCTTACATGCTAGATTATAGATAAAGAAACAATGAAGGGGAGAAAAAAGGAAGGGAGGAACTGATGACGATATCTCAAAATACCTTTCAGATAATACCATGTTAAAGTTCACAACTTCCAAACTATAACTTGATTCTCACAATAACACCTTAACGTAAATACTATATATTATAGTGTTCCCACATGCTAGGCAAGAAAAAATGATGTACCAAGAGAAGAAAAAAATAAGGCAAGAACAGTCATGTCACTTCTCTTTCTCTGAGCCCTATCAAGGCTCCCCACCAAAGTCAAAGTGCTTCAGCATTGAAGATTCTCTATCACTTGGACCCACCTATAATTCCAGGAGTATGAACCATCGCTCACTAACTCCCACAGTCCTTGGCACATCCTACATTCTAGCTGCACTGGACATTCTGTCATTCTTTGAGCAGTCTATGAATTTGCTATGAATTTTTAGTCTACATATTATGTCCAGTCCCTGTTCTACTCTCTCTTCCTACAGACATTCAACATTTTATTTAAGGCTCCATCTCAAGTGTTACATCCTTTGTGAATTCTTCCGTAATTCTCACACGTAAAATTACCTACGTTTTTCCTCTACAGCACGTGTTATTATATCACTTAGCAAATGAATTATAATTATCAGGAAGTGTGTGGTGTTATCCAACATGCCCTGAGCTCTTTAAGGAAATGATGCAGAGCTGTGTTTTATTCATCTCTGTAGTTCTAGTCTGAGTACAATGCTGAGAACAGAGTGGGTGCCCAATAAGATAAATTGAATTAAAAAGGTACAGTTTTTCAGAATGAAAATATTAATTTATCTTGTGCTTACCTCTTAGGTTATTCTAGATGAGTAATTAATGTCTCTGAGCTTCACTCCCACTGATCTAATCCATGACTCAGTTATACTAACATCTGCCTCCCAGCTCCCCCCATTGGCCACATACATAGGACACTCTGGGGTTAAAACTTTCTTAGACAGGAGGCTAAGAAAGTGCCATACTGGGTGGGTACTACGAGTCCAAAATAATCAAGAGAGACAAAGAAAATTAGTTATAAAACATACAATAATAGAAGGACTTGAGGTAAATAAGGATTTCTGCATGTGTATGGAAGTCATACAAAATGGAAGTTTAGGGATGAGATCAGGGCTCGTTTATGCCATATCTTTATAATATCCTAACATTTGGTCGTGAAGGAAAGTTTAGACTATTCATGCACCTGGTACCACTGAGATGTGCCCCACTGAGTTAAACTGCCCAGGTTGAATGAACCTGGCTCTTTGTTTGTGACACCTTTCAGGGCTGGATTCATGGCTTTCTGTTTACACTGGCACCACATGGGATCTACTCAGTGCTACTCAAAGTGTAGTGTACAGACCTACTCCAATCACACAACTGTTTCTTACTGGCCAGTACAGATATTAGGTATGAGATAAGTTTAGAAACTGAGACCAAGTATTTAGAAACATGGAGAAATTTCACATTCCCTGAAATTTTTCTTTTATAAAAGCATTCGTCTAGGACAACTTGGAAATTAAAAAAAAAAAAAACTACTCATCCCATACAATTAGAGAAGCACTGGATGATTCTTCTATTTATTCTCCTCTTCCTCCTTCTCCTCCTCTTCCTTCTCCTCTTCTTCATTCCTCCTTCTCATCCTTCTCCTTTGTCTTTTTCAAGATAAAATTTTAAGCAGGAGTCTGTATTATGAAGAAGTTTTTACCCAATTCAATCTGGATTTTATATTGGTTAGTTAATTTTAAAAGTCAATTAAAGCAAGGAGTCATTAAACCTCCTTACATACCCTTAATACTTTTTTTTCAGAATACGCTATATTGACTTACTCCATGTAAAAATATATTCCTTAGCTAATCTTTGCATGTAGGGCCAGGATATTTTCTTTGACTATGGGTCAACTGATTGAGTTCTGTGTAACCATTTCTACATAAATCCCCCTCCCCAAAATATGTCATTCATGATGCATCAGCATTGGCTTCCAGTTTCAGTTTTTTTAAGGAAAGCAAAAACTTAAAGACAAACACAAAGCAAGCTACATGTTTAATACTTCTTAGGTAGTTTTGAATTTTGTCTGCAATCTTTCACATCTAATTTAATACAGCATCTTTAGTGACCTGCCTTTTTTGAGTCTTTTCAATGCATGCAACTTAGTTTTTATAGAAACTATTTTCTTTTATCTTCATATTGCATTGGTTCATATAATTTTAATTAAACTTAAGTTAGGCAATTTAAATTGTAAATCATTCTACTATAAAGACACATTAACACATACATTTACTGCAGCACTGTTCACAATAGCAACAACTTGGAACCAACCCAAATGGCCATCAATGATAGACTGGATAAAGAAAATGTGGCATATATACACCACAGAATACTATGCAGCCATGAAAAAGAAAGCATTCATGTCCTTTGCAGGGACATGGATGAAGCTGGAAACCATCATTCTCAGCAAACTAACATAAAAACAGAAAAGCAAACACTGCATGTTCCCACTCATAATTGGGAGTTGAACAATGAGAACACATGGACACAGGGAGGGAAACATCACACTCCACGGTCTGTCAGGGGGTGGAGGCCTAGGGGAGGGATAGTATTAGGAGAAATACCTAATGTAGATGAAAAATTGATGGGTGTAGCAAACCACCATGGCACTTGTATACCTATGTAACAAACCTGCACGTTCTGCACAGGTATCTCAGAACTTAAAGTGTAATAATAAAAAAATTAAATAAAATTTTAAAAATACAATTATGATAAACAAGTGCAAGTAACACAGACAGGTTCTTGGAAAAACACAATTGCCACTTTGTAAGGTAAGACAGGATCAGTGGCATAGGATCATAATGATGTGGGCATATCAGAGAATAGCCAACTGGCTGGCACAGTGTTCATGCCTGTAATCCCAGAAGTTTGGGAGGCTGAAGTGGGATGATTGCTTGAAGCAAAGGTTCAAAACCAGCCTGGGCCACATGGAGAGACCCCATAGCTACATAAAATAATTTTAAAGAAATAGCCAGGCATGTTCCCAGCTACTTGGGAGGCTGAGATGAGAGGATTGCCTGAGCCCAGGAAGTCAGGACCGCAGTGAGCTGTAATCATGCCACTGCACCCTAGCCTGGGCAACATAGCAAGACCCTGTCTCAGAAAAGAGAGAGAGAGAAAGAAAGAGAGAGAGAGAGAGACTAGCCAACTAGTTACAATTATTCACTGAGGCATTACCAGTGGCCAGACAGTTTTGCACAGAGAATGGATAGTGTATTTAATCTAGAGTGTTTATATAAAGATCAGTTAATAGGAAAGTTAGTGCATATTAAAAAGATAGAAGCAGAGCTGTTGTGTTTAAAGCTGAGGCAAGGGACCTGGGGCCTGCCCTTTCAGTCTACTCCTCACCTTAACTTGGGCATATATAGAAATTTGGTCTCTAATAGGATGCAAGAATTTATACTAGTGACTGACTACAGTTCATGCCCTGAGGAATGTCTCCTCGCTTCCCTAGACCCTTCTAAACTACTCAAGATTCTTGTTGTAGGACAAAAACATGCAGTTTCTTAACACACTCACCAAGTTGATGAGAGACAAGCAAAAGCAAAGATATACAAAAAAGGAAGTAAAGAGATGGACTGTTGTCATGCCAACAAAATAAGATTGCAGTTCCCAGGAGCTATCACAAGGCCAGAAGAGGCCCGAGCAGATTGCGTTTAGCCTAAGATATTGGTGAGATGACACAAAATCTTTTTCCATAGTATCTGTATTGCAAATGTAACTACCAAAGAAAAAGCCCTGCCTCTATGCTGTTGGTTTTGCCATTTTGGAGGGAAGGGAGCATTTCCGAAAATGTGGCTTGAAGAAGACAGAGACTATGTCTTCTTCATTTCTGAGGCCCTACCCTCCACCCTGGACCCTTTCACAGAGTAAGGGCTAAAACTACTTATGAAATGAATGAATAAAAATTTGCCATAAGTCCAAGATCTTGGGCAGAATTATGCCTGAGTCTGGAATTTTAGATAAATCGATCACTTGATCCCAAAATATTTGGATCCTCAGTAGATCTGATCGCATATTTCGTGGCCAGAACAAATTCATTTGTAGATTGAGTCAACAGTGAGATGCTTCAAAAATATTTTTACAATGTGACATACTTATGTGATTGTGTATGAAGAAATGAGGGAACTCAATGCCTTTGCTACATACATATCTGCTCATAATGCTCCCAATACCAGATAAGGAAGATAGCTCCTGTCCCTAGGACCTTACAGTCTAATACAGTCTTGTATAGACCATTTAGCAACCAAAGGAAAAAAAACACATTGAAAAATGAACGGTTTTTTTGCATTTTGATTGAGAACAGAATGGAATGGCTACTGGAAATTAAGGTGAAGGAGTTTTTGTAAGGTAAATTCATAGACATAGTATCCAACAGAGCTGGTTTTAATTCTTAATTATATAATTCTCAATCCAGTTCTTAGCTGTATGACTGTGAGCAAGTCATTTCATTTATTTGGTCCTCAATTTCTACATGTGAAAAGTTAGGTTAATAATAATTATATCAATGATTTGTTTTATACACTAAGTAAAATATTGGGTATAAAGTGCCTGGCACATCTTATATTCTTATTACATGTGAATTTCGCTCTCTTTCTTCCTTCCTTATTCTTCACATGTTTAGAGTCTGAAGGTCCAAAAGAACATTACCTATACTGCAAGTCATCTGGAAGTTTACCTCAAGAGGGACAGGGATTGAAAACGCTGTCCAAAAGAAGGAAAGAAAATAACTTGAAAATAAATACAGATGTGGAAAAAACTAAAAGAGTATGAGGAATCAAATGAAAATTTCAGTTCAAAGTAATATACTTACGTATTAAACATTTTTTAAAATAAGAAATTTCTTAAGCATCTTCTTGTGCAGTTCTTACCCAGACTGGCTTTGAACTTTATAAAGGAGCACTTTCAGGAAAATAAATAGATTTTATTTATATTAAACAATAGATAATGATGCTTAACAAAAGAATTCTTACCATGTAGAAAATGGATATAGCCTAGCCTTGGTCCAGAAAATAGTTGGAAGAATGTCACATATATAAATATAATGTCTCCATAGAAGAGAATGATAGCAGTGAAATGTGAAGAAGAAGCAGGAAAGTCTTTGGATTTGACTACAACTGAGAGGATCCTCAAGAAAGTGACAATGACAAACATGTGGGAGACAAGGGGGACCAGTGGAGAGCGCATCTAGATGAAGCACGCAATGAAAAAGAACAAAGAATTCATTGTGAAGATGTCTGAGCAGGAGAGGACCAAGAGTGGGAAATTGTCACCAAAAACACTGCTGCTGATGTGGACTTACACAAGTCAAATATAAAGACTGAACCTCCTAAAAACATAGTATGAATAACTCCATGTCTGTAACATGAAGTCACTAGTCGGATACAAAAAAAATGTGGGACATAGTGACAGAATAGAGCATGGGTTGTCTGATTGGCATATAAATGTCCTTGCCCAGGGAGGATAGAAGTTTGCATTCAGTAGTCACAAAGAACAAAAATACCAGCATTTGTATCACACAATAGAAGAAGGGAATTGTTTCTGTCAAAAATTTCAGGAGTGCCTTGGAGACTGTGACTGGGAACAGACAGAAATCTCTGAAGATAATTTTTCAGCCCTCACCCCCTCAACAGCCTCCCTCATTTTGGAGTCACCAATGTGTATTATTTCCATTTATATGTCCATGTGAACTCATTGCTTAGCTCCTTGAATCCATAATAGAAAATATATTTTGATACATAATATAATTACAAAAAACTAAAAAATAAATCTATGAAGGATAAACTTTAGAGGAAGAAGTACATGGTGGTATGGAAATGGGACTGATGCTGATAAAGATCAGGAAGCCAGTTTCGTACAAAAAGGACTGCATAACTATTCATAAGAGCAAAGAGATATAATCAACCCAAATACCCATCAATGATAGACTGGATAAAGAAAATGTGGTACATAAACACCATGGAATACTATGCAGCCATAAAAAGGAATGGTATCATGTCCTTTGCAGGGACAGGATGGAGCTGGAAGCCATTATTCTCAGCAAACTAACACAGGAAGAGAAAACCAAACACCACATGTTCTCACTTGTAAGTGGGAGCTAAACAATGAGAACACATGGACACCGGGAGCGGAACAACGTACACTGGGATCTGGGCAGAGGTGTGGGATGGAGATCATCAGGATAAATAGCTAATGTATGTGGGGCTTAATACCTAGGCAATGGATTAATAGGGACAGCAAACCACCAAGGCACACATTTTCCTATGTAACAAACATGCATGTCCAGCACATGTATCCGAGAACTTAAAATAAATTATTTTTTTAAATTTTGGCCATGCTATTCTTCTCTGTATCATTCCAATTTTAGTATATGTGCTGCCGAAGCAAGCACAATAAATGTTTTTTTAAAAAGAAAAAGTCACCTTAGTGCACAGTTATACAGGAGGGGTAATTATTAAAATTTTGGCAATAAATGATTGAAGAAGACAACTCATTAGAGAGTATATCTAAAGAACCCAGAAATGTTCTGAATTTCTGTAGTAGTAAATTTTGATGTTTCTAGGCATGAAAAATTGTTATCCTTTTTTCTTTTTGAGACAGGGTCTCACTCTGTCATCCAGGCTGAAGAACAGTGGAAATATCATAGCTCACTGCAGCCTTGGCTTCCTGGGCTCAAGTGATACTTTCTCCTCAGCCACCTGAGTATCTGAGACTACAGGTGCACACCACCATGCCCAGCTATATTTTAGATTTTTTTTAATAGAGATGCAGTCACACCATGTTGTCCAAATTTTTCTCGAACTCTTGAGCTCAAGGGATTCTCCCACAAAAAAAGAACTGCATATGCCAAGACAAGCACCCAAAGGGGATCACTTGAATTTGGGGATCGTATGTAATTCCTGATGAAACAAATTTTGTCATCAAATTTTATAAGCAATCTTTAGTGCATCCCTGACCACAACTGCTGCATCTTATTAGCTCAACAGAAGAATATTTCATTGGTAAAAATAACAACAGTTAGAATTTCTGTACACACACAGTAGTCAATAGAGATATGGAGATATTACCTTGGAATATGGAGTGTTGTTAAATACAAGAATGCAGATCTTCATTTTTAGAAGCCTGGAGCACAGACCTTCCTTTAGCTCTCATCCAGGAAAACAGTGATTAACCTGCTATATGATGTCAGCCAGATCATTTCATTGTCCCAATACATTAACTCCATTGCCTCTCACTATTCCGACATAAAACACAGCATAATATTTTGTATGCAGCAGATGCTTTGAGACATTTTCATACTCTTTAGTTATGCAATCAAACATTGAGGAAAATAACCCAAAAGGTGGAAACAGTGTTTAGAACAAACGTGTTAATTATGAAGGTCACTGCATTTTCTCATTCACTTGTATTTTGTATATTTCAATATGTAGTTACAAGTGCTTGGTTTCTGAATTTCATTAACTCATTCCATGACCTAGGACCTTGCCTACGCCACACAATATTTTGTAAACTGGTAACACAGGTATGAAATATATGATTCCTGCCCTGAAGGAGGCCACAGGTTAGAGGTGAAGATAGTCTCAATACAGGGTGAGAAGTACGTGTAGGGAACTGAGTACTGAGTCCAGATATACACTGACTACATCTACAGTTTCTGGATGGGGCTTGGGACTCAGTGACTTAAGACGCCTCAAGATCGCAAACTGACATTCTCAGTGCTTTGGAAGGTACCATTCTGAGACAAAGGATGATACTGCTAATTCAATAATACCATAGAATTGAAATTCCCAATGCCCTCTAAGATTTTGTCTCACAGTGCTTTCCTACACAGTATCTGACTTACTTAGGCTGACATCTTACACTTTCCAAAAATGCATATTTGCTTAAGATTAGGCAGTTTTTGCAGACCCAAAGAAAGTGTCCCTCAAGCATGCAGCACTCACTTGAGTGCGTTTTGAGTAATAGGGACAGTGATAGGAACACGAAGCAATGCAGCCGAACCAATAATTCAGGACAGAGAAATTGTTTACATTCCTGGAAGGGAGCACAAAACTAAGAAAACTTATGTATATGTTCACTTTACATTTCACAGTCATTTCAAAGAAGTCTTTGCTAACACTATCAAGGCAGGTCAATTAATTTAAACCTGCCTTTGAAAATGGTATTTTATGATGTTATTTTAAATGAGGGAGATAAAAATGCTTCATTTGAAATCTCACAGGTCAATTAGAAAAAGCTCACCTTAGACTCTAGTATCTACAAGAGAAGTTCTTAACCATGGTTTCTCATTTGAATCTCATATGTTGATAGTGGACACTCATGAAAAATACACTTAGCCAGAAACTCTGCATGTAGGCAGTTATTACATTTTTTGTTTGTTTGTTTGAGAGGTAATTAGCTTTATTGAAGTATAATTATCAGCTAAAATTGCACCCAACTTAAGTGAAAGCTCAAAGAGTAGGGACAAATATATACACCTATGTAACTACCATCCTCAACTAAATGCAGAATAATTCCGCCACCCCAGAAAGTTCTCTTCTGTCCCATTTAAGTCAATTCATCCCATTTTTGGTCCTAGACAGCCACTGATTTGTTGTCTGCCACTATAGATTAGTTTGCCTAAAATTTCATATCAGCAAATTAATTCATATACTACCTAGCACGTTTCATCTTTTAAAGTATCCACAATGATTCTGAGGGAGTCAATGTTGGAGCCACTGATATAGAGGCTCCCATAAAGGACAGAATCAAAGATTCTGTCACGAGTTGAATATAAGCCAAATGGCTTAAATTCTAGAGCACGTGTTTAAATCATGCTTACAAAATTCCTGTAGTTCAAAACTGAGGACCATGAAACTTTTTTGGATGAAGATTGAGATTTATATTAAAGTACAGTTTGGAATCCTGTTACATGTCTATTGCTACATGGCTAAGTGAAACACTTGCCTCTCAGATCCACTGTCAAATCCAAAATCCCTCTCTTTTAAATTTTGCCTCAAAGTGAAATTAACCATATACCAAACAGTGTGAAAGAGGAATGAGATCTGGGGTTAAGGAAACACTTTAATTAACTCAGCCATGAATACCATAATAAGACTTACTGGCATGAGCTGAATCAGTAAGTACACAAGGCCAAAGACCCCTTGTTATGGAGCAATGCTCTGGACTTTGCCGCTATTTCCATGACTGCCTTCGCCTTTGTTCTCAAGATTCTCCACTTGTGAAATAAGGAACTTAAACCATATGCTTTTAAAGGTGGCTTCTGACCTCAACCTTCTCGGGTTCTATTTTAGTGAATTTGCCGATGAAAATATTACTTAACACCAATGCTTAATATTAGTCCGCAATGTTTGTAAGAGTAACAAAAATCTCATAGGAAGAGTTTGCATATGAAGGTTATATTCCAGGATGACCAGACCTTAAAATGTGCTCTTTCTTATAGAGCTAAATGTGTTTAAACATTATGTAGTGTATTATTTTTCATATTCTTTTTTTTTAATTTATTTTTTTTTTAATTTTTTATTGGATTTTAGGTTTTGGGGTACATGAGCAGAGCATGCGAGACAGTTGCGTAGGTACACACATGGCAGTGTGCTTTGCTTTTCTTCTCCCCTTCACCCACATTTGGCATTTCTCCCCAGGCTATCCCTCCCCACCTCCCCCTCCCACTGGCCCTCCCCTTTTCCCCCCAATAGACCCCAGTGTTTAGTACTCCCCTTTCTGTGTCCATGTCTTCTCATTTTTCATCACCCACCTATGAGTGAGAATATGCGGTGTTTCATTTTCTGTTCTTGTGTCAGTTTGCTGAGGATGATGTTCTCCAGATTCATCCATGTCCCT